ACTTTGACAAGCTTTCAGGTCACATGATTGACATTTGTTGTGATGAAATGTTGGGTGTTATCAAAGCAGGAGCGGATACAACATTTTAGAAAGGTGGGGGAGGGTGCAGAATATAGGTTTAATGATATGTCGACCTAGTTCTAATGATACATGTAATTCTGTAACAATATTTTAATTGGTGAAAATATATCACTATTGTTTAAAAATTAATATTAACAACGATAAGAAATATAACATTCCAATTTTTCGTTAATGTTATATAATAATTATTACTTATTTTAGAGCCTTACAAACTGAGTAACAAAGTCTCTATACTTGTCTATTTTTTTCTTTTTTTTTAATCCGTAAAAGAAGTTCTGACATCCAAGTTTCGCTATTCTGGTAAACAAAAGTAGTCCAAAATCTAACGACGTGTGTGCTTTAATTAGCTGCTTTCCCTCTAATCTATTAGTGTAAAATTCGATATGGTTAGGCGAAGATAACCTTTAGTATAACTTTGTGAGAACAGAAAAAAGCCCTGGTGGTTAGGGAGATCGACTGACAAGCTGTGGGTTGCGGATTGAAACTTGTCGCTGAACATTCCCGCCCTTTCAGCCGTGGGGGCATTATAAAGTAATGGTCAATCCCATTATTCGTTGGTAAAGATTAGCCCAAGAGTTGGCGGTTGGTGATGTTGACTAGCTGCCTTCCCTCACTTCAAAACTAGAGATTACTAGCGCAGGTAGCACTCGAGTAGCTTTGCGCGAAATAAGCCTAAAGGCGTCAGTATAGAAGACAGTTGCAGGTCAAAGTTCTCAAACCTACTAAACCTAAATAATCTATGATATATTCAACGGCATCTTGTAGTAGGAATATATAGTTTGACTTTCAAATACACAAATCGAACTGAATACCTAAGGAACCAAGAAATAAAAGGCGTAGTTAGTGAACTACAAACAACAAACGGAAACCACCATTAATTTTTACCGTTATTGGTAACTTCGACGGAAACACTCGTTAATTAAAGTAATACGTAATACAACTCGACTCGTTAATGATGGACAAAACCGTAAATTAACAAACATAACACGGTAACGCTTCATATTAAGTCTTCATTAATAAACACTTTACTCACAAGTTCATTATTTAAAAAAATAAGATACACAAGAAAGACAACCATTAGTAATTTATTGAATTAATTGCAATATTAATGATATTTTTGTTTAACCTTTCTTTGTAACGTAGCAACTAACGTCGTCATGGACCTCAAGCACTCTGGCCCACCCAAGTACATTCTTGGCTTAAAAAAGCATATTGCCAATTTTTAAAAAAGCATACGTTTTTTTAAATCGCTAAGAGCAATTTACAAAAGTTCCACGTTTCTCCACGAAGTGAGAGGAGCTGGAGCCGGGCCTCATAAACAATCTAGCAAAAATGTGTTTAAAAAACACCAGAGGGTGCAAACTGGTAATTCTAGAATCAAGCCAGTTTATCAGTACATATGTTTCAATACGATTTGAATTTCTGAAGAGCATAACACAACTTACAGATTTTAGAACATACGTAGCGTCAGTTTTTACGTAGAAATTATATTATCTGTCGAACTGTGTACTAAAGACTGGATAAAGAGCACGATTCAGTTATTCACGTGTGTTTGGTGATCTTGTCTTAGTGACGTATTTCTTGTTAATCTTGATCTCAGCTTCGTGCTAGCCCACAAGTTGTGTTGAAAGTAACAGTGACCAGGTTACCAGCCTGGAACATCAAGAGCAGTGCTTCTCAAACTGGTAGACGTACCTCAGGGTAGTGGTAGTCAGCGAAGGAGTAAACGAAACTAAGAGGGAAAAATAAACAAAACGAAGTAAAAAAGAGTGGGGGATTTTGTTTGTTTTAGAGCAAAGCTACACTGGGCTATCTGCTGTGTCCATCGTGGGTAATCGAACCCTGGATTTTAACATTGAAAGTCCGTAAAGGACAAGAGAAAAATGAAATACAACTTCTTTATCAGAGTTAAAAAATAAGTATGAAATATAAAAAAATACATTATTTATTTTCACTTTCAGAATCACAGGGGTATCCGTATTTCTACTAAATTTGAAAAGGGGCACCCCAGTTTCAAAAGTCTGAGAACCACTCTAGTGGAACGTTCAGCCATCTGTACGAGTTTAGTCGGGATCGGTTGTTTTAGAAAAATAATCAAGATTCAATTAGGACTGAACAGACTTGGCATAACCTTGACTATAAGACGGTCGAATGAGGACTGATATCAGAAGTTAACCAATCTAAAACTCTGATACGTGCAGGTGTATTAGTAGCCTGTAGGTGGAATGTTGTTGTTGTTTTATCATCAAAAAAGTGACGAAACCATATCTGTTTAGAATAAATACCAACTGGCGTAGTAACATTAGTAAAAAGTAATTTGTAGCATATGAAAATTAATAAACTGATCACCTGATGGATTTTAAAATATTTCCACCTGAGAACCTTTTTCTTAAAAAACAACAACATCAACATTGTCTTAAATTTATTAAATGCCAGAATACGGGTATTGAGTCAGATTTTTCGAGATTTTCTTTCGTCAAATATAAAATACAAAATACCAATAATATGTGACCACCTGATATTTTTGTTTGTTTCTGTCTGGGAATTTTTATTATTATTTAATTTATTACACAGTCTTGGGTTATCACTGCTAAAATATTATAACTGAGTCAGGTTTTATGGAGCTGTTCCTTCGTTGGTTAAATGTTTCAGCTACACACACACATCCTGCATCACTACATAACGGCTTTTGCAATAGCAACATAGTGGGTAACGCTGTGATAAATATCGCAATTTAAGTTTAGCTGTTGCCATAGAAACATAGTTGGTAACGATGTGATAAATATCTCAATTTAAGTTTAGCTGTTGCCATAGAAACATAGTTGGTAACGATGTGATAAATATCGCAATTTAAGTTTAGCTGTTGCCATAGAAACATAGTTGGTAACGCTGTGATAAATATCGAAATTTAAATTGTAGCATTATTGACGTATGAAACATCATTTGTTGCACAAGGGGACTGTTCCACTCCCCACGTGATTTAATAACTAAAGGTTTAGCTCTCAAAACACTATATTTTACTTCATTATATTTTGAACAACGAATCAGATTTCCTGAGAATTTAATCGGATAGCAAAATATCAAAGTTATCATCAAATTTTATTTTACTTTTTGTACTGTCCCTCAGTGAGTCAGCGATAAGTTTATGAATTTACATTTCTAAAATACGGTGGTCAGTTTCACGTGGTGGACAAGTACAGATAGCTTATTGTGTAGCTTTGTGCTAAAGGACACAAACAAAACTTATTGAATTAAAAATTGCTAGCTATATGATTTAATTTACTTATGACGTGTATATTGTTGAACGTTTACGAGAAGCTGGTTGTAGTATTGTTAGACTCCTGAGCTCTAATAGGCTTGCCTGATGCAAGTTTATACAGAGTTACAAACCCATGTAGCCATATTGATATAAAATTCGAACTGCGTTTTTTTTTTTATTAATTATTATTATTATGATAAAAAGACCGAAAGACATTCAACCATACAGATTTTTCCTGACATACACTTACAGGTGGAAAAATCGATTCAATTAAGTATCAGTGTAGATTGTGGAATAAGTTCTGTTATTGTCTGTTTATTCATGAAATGTCTTTTTACCCACCAAATATCTGTTTGTTTTTAGGTTATACACGCAAAGCTATTGTTAAACTAGACAGAAAGTAGCTAGTCAACAACTCTCTTGCTAACTCTTAGGCTGCTTTTATCTCAACGAATAGTGTGATTTGCACCTGAATCTTACAGTGCACTCATAGCCCTGAGTAGCGGAGCGCGTTACTTCAGCAGCGGGATGCGAGCCACGAATCATCGGATTCACAGTTCGGACACACTAACCAATAGGCCACACTGTGTTGAAATAAACGGATTTTAAAGAATATCTAAGTACAATGTTCGGGGTCGTTGTTGCATTTCAAAGACTAATGCGTTGCCAGTGTTGTGGGTAACAAATGTTCATTGTTGGAAGTCTGTTTTCCTGATGAAAGGCTGGCTGGAATGGTTAAGACATGTTGCACACAAATAAAAATGCCTGGATAATCAGTGAAGCGAAATCTGAAGTGTTAGAACTAAACAGTTTCTCAGGGTCATGTACCTTCTTTATTAACGTTAGAGAACTGTGCGCCATTGTTGTTGTTGGAATGAATAAAAATGTTTTTGTTGTTAACATTCGAACCAAAGTAATATTAATAGTTTTATGTACTGACATAACCTTGCACAGTAAAGCAAAAAAGTTATAATAGGCTACTTTCAAAATTAACTTTTAGAATATAACTAAAAGAGCTGACAACGATCATAAGTATATAACATGAAATAGAAAGATACTTATAAATATATGTACATATATCATTAGATTTATAAGTAATAACTATCCACGATAAATGAAGAACATTCGTTGTTAAACATAAAGCTGCATAATGGAGTATCTATTCTGTGCTTCTCTGATAATTCCTAATTTAAATTAATACTAGAATAATAAATATTTAACTTTATTATTTGATACGACCAACAGAGCCGCTAACAAATATCTCAATATATTGAGTCGTTTGAGAATTTTTCATGAAACTGTATTGTGAAAAAATATGCAACAAAAGAGAACACAGTCTGGGTGATATTGTGAATTATAAAATAATAATGACGTTGAATAAAAAAAGAAGAGTTTTTAATCCGCGAAACCCTTTATCTCATGTTGATTCCGAAACCTTAATTGAAGTGACATTTAAAAAACAAAAAGGTTAAGCGCACTTTATTTGAACGATTTACATGAGCTAATACAGTGGCAAATCGCCGCAGGTGTGAGTCGTGGTGCTCACCCTATGATACATTGAACTTTAATTATAAAATGTTAAATTTAGTGATCTAGATACGACACACTCGCTATATATATGTACTAAATACTGTTAATGTACATTTGTTGTTTGAATCAGGTGACCAAGAAGGTGTTCAACAACAACAGAGTGCCCAACAGTGCGCTATTTGTGGAGATAGAGCCACAGGAAAGCATTACGGAGCAGCTAGTTGTGATGGCTGTAAAGGATTCTTCAGGCGGAGTGTCCGCAAGAACCACCAGTACACATGCAGATTTAACAGAGGCTGTGTGGTGGACAAGGACAAGAGGAACCAGTGTCGCTATTGTCGTTTGAAGAAGTGTTTCAGAGCAGGCATGAAGAAAGAGGGTAAGACGAGAAAAAAAAATTGTTTATTTAAAAACAGATAATTCCTATTCGTATAGCAACGATGGTACGTGTGTACGACTGAACAGAAAAATATAAGATGTGCTCAAATGGAAGGATTAATCTTACTAAGGTGAATAATTTATTATTCTCAGAGTGAAAAACACCCGTGTAATTAATGCTATCTAAGAAATCCGGTGGATCATTTTTTTAGTAAACACGATCCAAAATGTCGTTAACATTTCTAGAAACTACAACTTATAATTCTGAAGTTCATATATTTATACCAACAACTACTTTTACTCAGTTAGTTATTCAGAATTGTCTTCGCTAAGTTTGTTTGTTTATTTTTGAATTTCGCGCAAAGCTACACGAGGGCTATCTGCGCTAGTCGTCCCTAATTTAGTAGTGTAAGACTAGAGGGAAGGCAGCTAGTCATCACCACTCACCGCCAACTTTTGGGCCACTCTTTTACCAACGAATAGTGGGATTGATCGTAACCATATAACGCCCCCACGGCTGAAAGGGCGAGCACGTTTGGTGGGACGGGGATTCGAACCCGCGATCCGCAGATTGCGAGTCAAGCACCCTAACCACCTGGCCATGCCGGGCCCTTCGCTATGTTATGTTACATTTTAAAATAATTTTATATCTGATTTATAAAGTTGATTCGAAGTTTGGTTTGTTTTTTAATTTCGCGAAAAGCTACACGAGAGCCATCTGAGTTGATCGTCCCTAATTTAGCAGTAATAGACTAGAATGAAGGCAGCCAGTCAACATCACCCACCGCCAACTTTTACGCTACTCTTTTACCAACGAATAGTGGGATTGACTATCACGGATGAAAGGGCGAGTATGTTCGGTGACGGGGATTCGAACCCGCAACCCTCAGATTACAAGTCGAGCGCCCAAACCACCAAGCCATGCCATGTGTATCAGAACTACTTGTAATAATTACAGCATAAGACCAGATGCAACTACCTATCTTAGCGTTACAGACATAAGCGCTTTTAAATCATTATAATGTTTCTTTCTCAACTGTCAAATCAGAAATCTCTATACCAAAGCAAGGATTGTAAACGTTACAGTATAAATTAGTTTTTTCTCATTACTCGAGAAATCTTCATTAGATATTCTATAGAAACAATCCTTGCAGTAGAGGGATTCACTTAAACCACTACAACTTTGTGAAGATATAAATAAAGAGAAAGTAGGGATTGTTATTATTGTTTTGTTTTTTTATAGAATAAGTCTGGCATATAATAATGATAGAGTATCAATGTTAAAATTTGTATTTGTTTAGAAACAGGTCTACCAACAGACATGTAAACACAACACATCCGTGTCCCATTTCTGTACCTCCTCCCACCCACAAAGACAGGTATATAAAACGGTTGACTTGTATGCCCAAACTTCCAACGTTTATGGTTTGATTATCCGAAAATATAACAAACTGCGCGTGTGCACGAGCTTTTATTTGGGGTGTGACTTTTTTCACTTCCTTGCTGTAGTTCGTGACCTCTGAATAACAGCTATTTCTTGGGTCAGCCCACAGGAAACTACACTAAGGTGAGAAAAGAAGTACCTTCGAAAGTGCACTAAATGAGTAGTTAAAGAACCAAATATAAGGAGAAACTGTTTGTAAATTGTAGTGTTATTTGTTTTGTTTGTAATAATGAAAATAAAGTTACGAATTATCTATATATCGACCATTTACCTTAAAGATGATCGCAAATGTTCAGTAACTAAGAGTAAAAATAGAAATATAATGCCAAGTAGTGAATATTTCTTGTGATATATATATATATCTACAAGCTATTTCTGTTTTTACAAGGGAACTAGTTACAACAAGAGTATCTAGCGACAGGCCTTCTTAATTTTCAGCAATCAATGCCAAGTAGTGAATATTTCTTGTGATATATGTATATATATCTACAAGCATTGCTGAACATTAAGAAGGCCTGTCGCTAGATGCTCTTGTTGTAACTAGTTCCCTTGTAAAAACAGAAATATAATGCCAAGTAGTGAATATTTCTTGTGATATATGTATATATATCTACAAGCATTGCTGAACATTAAGAAGGCCTGTCGCTAGATGCTCTTGTTGTAACTAGTTCCCTTGTAAAAACAGAAATATAATGCCAAGTAGTGAATATTTCTTGTGATATATATATCTACAAGCATTGCTGAAAATTAAGAAGGCCTGTCGCTAGATACTTTTTTTGTAACTAGTTCCCTTGTAAAAACATAGAGGAGTTGTGTTTCTAAAAGTTCAAAATATAAATTGCATAAAACAAGTAAAAGAAAAGCGGAATATGTGATATTATAACTATTATTAAGCAAAAACCACTGTTAACAATATCAGTCACTTCTCTTGGTTCATTGTTATGTATCTGACATGATCTAAAATGCGAATGGTTTGAACATTCAGTCTAAATTACAAACGGTGGCCTCAAAATATTTTCTTAACATGGTTTTTGCTTTGTAGCGAATCCAAGTTGTTCATGAACGAACTATAGTTAAATCTGAAAAGTGGCATTCAGTTGTTTCACTCATCTGGAAAGCTACTAGACACACAGAAGTTGGTTAATCAAACCAAACTGACTACACCTGTCCCGAAGTTGCTTGGACATTTGGACAATGCAAGACGATCGTCCATAACACAAACAAAGATATATCGATTCTGGTTCTCGTGACCGTATAGCACCTGCTCTGACACTGAATCAGATGTTCATAGCCACAACTACATGTTGAGTCACTTAGAAATAGGCTTCCTAATGAGATAAATTGCGCTCAAAGGAGAACACAAAATATCTTGTTTGCAGTGGTGCCAAGAGCACGTTCAGTGGAACAACGATATGTGGAATTATGTGGAGTATTTATAGCTGAGTCAGGCTTCACCCTGTAGCCAAATAAAACATATGCTAAGTTGGAGAAAACCTGGTACCAAATCCAAACCTAATTTTGTGCTGGAACGTGCATAGCCACCTTTAACCAACACCATAAAACTGATCGAGTCAGTTTTCTAATTATCTGCCTGATCATTGGACCCATATTCATGATCGTTATCTTGTTGCTATGCGACACTTATTCTGCAGTTGTTGTTTATCTTTCTTTGGCGTTCGAAATGATGCTCAAAATGTTCACAAAAACATTATGATAAACTTTTATAACGGGAAGGTACAGGGCGTACCAGATGCAAGGTCTTATAGCAAACACAGATAAGCCCATAGGTCTAAAGATAACGCTCGTCAGTCGTAGTTAGGAAGGCAAAGAGTAGGTGTAGTCCACCAAATCTTACCAGTATTGTTATTAATACAGTTCCAAAGAGTTCCATATATTTTATTCTATACATTTTCATTTGGCATTTGAGAAGTTAACATATTCACTGTAACACTGTATTTTTAAAATATCAGGTTGTGATTCGCTATGAATATTTAAAAAACAAACTTGAAATAAAATGCACGAGGCGTACTGCTTTCAGTTTTCAAATTAGAATTACTATTGTCAGTTTAGCATAACATAATAAGTCGTGTAATTTTAATTCCATTAGTACTTAATTTCAGCAGTATTATTAATAAAAAATATAGAAGTTCATTAAAAATATTCATAACCTAAATATTATTGCAGAGGCTGCTCATTTACTACAATATTCAATGTTTAACCAGTTAAGCTGTAAATCAGATCTTAGTTTAACATATAAAACTAAATTAAACACACGTACTTCAAACTCCCACCTTTATTTAGAAAAATAACCAATCCAAGTTTGGTGAAATATATCTTATTAAAAACGTTGTTTCAAGAAATATTAAACTGAAACAATCCAGACTCTAACATGCGAGTATACAGCATTCACTTCTAAGACATTCAATATATAAAATTAATAATTTCTATTTCAGCACAATATGTAACTAATTTCATTTGTTTCAATTTCATTCGGTATGGGTGGAATATGTTATTATGTTATAGTATGATAGCTTTGACTTTAACCTGATATTAGCATGATACACTAAGATCATGGTAGGTCAACCATCACGCTGTCATTCCATTAGAAAAGCCAAGTTTGTACTTAATATACAGTAAAATTAATACGACCATTATTTTTCCAACCCTTTTTTTTCAAATCATTTCCATTCTCACTTATAAGAATATGCTAAGACCATATAAACAAAGTTAAAACGATTAATGTACCATTTGTGAAGTCGTTATCTAGCGTTTGACTGGTAAGCGCTCAGCAACTTCGTTTTTGATCTGCCGTCAGCTGCAATTTCAGCCCAGGCTAATATTTCAGCATATTCATCAAAATGGGTTATGATTCTTTAAAGACCTAGATTCACGTGAACTTTGCAGGGCAACCAGATCAATATCCACGATATACATACTTTGTACATACTTTGCTTCATATACTGTTTTGAATTCAATCGAAAATATATAAAAATTTTTGGGATGGTTGAACATTTCTTGAAAGTATAACTGCAAGTTAAAGCGTATCAACATGAAGGTCGTTTAATACGGGTACCGTAAAAAAACAAAAACTAAAGTAGTAGACCCAATAAATTTGTGACAGTATCCAAGATAAATAATTTTAATGACTATGTTCTGTTTGAAATTATCGTAGATGAGAATTTATTTATTAATTTTTTAGCGGTTCAGAATGAGAGAGATCGAATCAGCTGCCGGAGACCAAGTTATGACGAGGCACTGCATTCTGCTGGTCTATCGCTTGGTGTGTTGCTTAATGCTGAAATGTATTCTAGACAAGTGAGTACTGGAAATTAGTTTTTGTTTTCATGAAACAAAGTAGCGTAAAAAAGTTTGGTGGTTATATCTTCGGTGTCGAATTATAACCTTCCGTTTTCTTTTTCCCTTTTAAATTTATTCATGATAAATAATAGATAAAACACAATAAATCAACTTTTACTTTATCTTCTGTTTAGACACATATTTTCAATAATTTGACAACGGAACTTTTTATAAATTTATATAGATTCGTTGTTATACTATAAAGATTGTGATTACTGTACTGGAAAAACAAGTGCTTGTGGCACGTTTCGTTTAAACGACATACATATATTAAGAATTTTAAGTCAAACATGTTGACTACCTTTATTGTTATAATTTTACTTATTGATTTACTATCTGTTTTATCAACAGCATTAGACAGTAATATTTCCAACAGGCCTGAACAATTTTACTGATTATAACTCATTTTGATTTTTAGCGACATCTCTTGTAGTGTTTGGACTCGGGGTTTTATCATGCCCTTTACCTCGCATTTCACTCCTATTGGTCTATATTGAATTTTATTGTAGTTTTAATATATATATATATATATATATATATTATAGTTTATAAAATATTTTGTGTCATTTAACCAAATAAGATTTTAAAATTGGATATTATTACTATCACTTATAATTTGACCTATTCGGTCATTTCAACTCTTATTTTCAGGAATAAACTCAAAACATGCTTGTAAGGTTATTTCAGTGTGATTTAATTGGATAATATGGATTATTAACAATATATTTGCTAATATCATTTACATTTTTGACGCATGAATTTGTTACTGAAAACGTAAATTCAAATAATATAAATAACAAGTACCACTAGCGTAATCCGGTTTTGACCGTTTTTGCGAACTTCGTAGTGTTTTAACTGATAACCCTTGGGAGTATAAAAGCTTTCTTTGAGAGTTTGATAATTGAAAGAAGCGTTGCTTTCGTAAATATTAACGAAAACTTCAACTGATAAATCTTAAAGCAGTAGCTTAAAACGTGTATGGCAAACAAAGATAAAGAAATGCATATTATTATGTTAAAAATAACCGCCTGTCCATTAGCAAAAGCTCTATATGAAATTAAATTATATAAAGAAACATAGCACCCTATTAATTTATCAATCAAGGAACGTCAGATTAATAATAAATAAGGCCAGTATAGATTTTATTAATGACATATTTGGTGTGTTCTGTTGTTTAGCAGTTGGGACCCCAACAAAATGAAATAGTCCTAGCTACTAAAAAAGTGGCTACGATAGCTGATGTGTGTGAATCAATGAAACAGCAGTTGTTGATACTTGTGGAGTGGGCAAAATACATCCCGTCATTTTCAGACCTGCCCCTCGATGATCAGGTGGGTAAAAAAAATTTAAGACTTTATTTCAGGATAACTTTGAAATTTAATAAAACTCACCTTCACGGGTATCATTTCTTAGGTAAACGTTAATTATCACTTTGAAATGGGCTCAAAACATATGACAACTTTATTTTTGTGTGAAAATGTGTAAGATAAGCATTTTCTTGAAAAGTGTAGGCAGTGATTTATATATATACATATCTGCTGCAGACACGTATGGACTACTTTTTTCCTCATCTGTATTATACTGAGGTGATTAGGATTGAATCAAATGTTGTTGTACTCCCTCCCCCACTCTCCCAAAGCAAATATTTAAAGCGCATGCAACTTTAAAAGCAAGTATTTAATCATATCTGCACATATACCACCAGTTGATAAGTGTAAGTAAATTAAGCAGGGCTGTGCTCGAAGATTCGTTTGTTAGTCTTTCTTCCGAAGATAGTTCTAGCCATTGTAAGGTTTGTCAGGCGACATTCAAGCAGCGTCATTTTGTTTGTCTCGTTAATTCAAACTGTTCGATATTCTTTTAATAGTAATACTACTAACATGGAAAGTTCGGTCTTTTGGTTTGTATAATGCCTATTACTTAAATAAAAGTGTGCATTAAAACATACACACTATCATCATCACCAAAATGTTATATGTAGCAGTTTTTCGGTTCATTTGAGTAGAATATTATGATACAGCACGTTTAGCAATTGCATTACCTCAGTATTATGCACTGAATGCCTAGTTTACAAGACGTATGAGAAGTGTTGTGGTAGAATAAGTACGAAACATAAAATATTCGTTAACCCTAATAATTTTAATGTTGAAAAAGGTGCACAGGTCTAACTCTAAACTCTTCCCACTCCAAGACGTTTGTGTCATTGATCAGTAATATTGCTAGAAATGTGGCTGATAATAATACTACTCTTTTTTTGTAACTTTTGTAGTTGAAGATTTTCTAATAAAACTCTTGTTCTATTCTGTTCTGTTTTGCTATTTGCTCATTTTGTTTATTAGGCATGTTTAAATTAATCCATCAACAATTTTATGTTAAAAACCCGGTTTCTAGCGGTATAAGTCCGCAGACATGCCGCTTTGGATCGCATGTGCCATCAAATAATTGTACATAAACAACTTGCGTTTTTCATTTTTATTTAAAAATATGCTTGCTGTTCTATTTAACGTATCTTCAAACTACTTGTGAACGTTTTATTTATTTATATGGATTACGTAGGTGATTTTCAATTAAATCTAATAAGTAAATAGTTACGATGATGTCACGAGTAAATTTGACAAATTAATACTATTGAAGGGTCGAACCTTTGTTCAGTGATATGTTTCGAATTTTCGAAGATAGGGATCTACCCTTCTTTATAGCCCTAAAATTAAGAAATGTGTTATTTTAATATACATATTATATATATATATATAAATGTGTGTGTGTACGTGTTTATATAAATCATATTTTAAATTACATTTTTTAGTGTGATTGATCACTTATTTAGGTGGCACTTTTGAGAGCTCATGCCGGAGAACACCTTTTACTTGGTCTTGCCAGGAGGTCTATGAATGTGAAGGATGTTTTGTTGCTGGGTAATAACTTCATCATTCCACGTCATTCCTCTGAAACTGATATTAGCAGAATAGGATGTAGAATTATGGATGAACTTGTGACAACATTACGAGAAGTTAATGTGGATGATACTGAATTTGCTTGCTTAAAGGCCATAGTGTTTTTCGATCCTTGTAAGTTTGAATTTCGAATTCATATAATAAAAATAAAATACATGTACAATTTATGATAATTTATGTTTTTTCTTATTCAGCCCTGTTTATTGCTTAATATAATAGTTTCCTTTTTTTTTTTCGTTCAATAATTATGAACATTAATATTTTGCTCCATATACTTGTTTTTTTGTTTAAAAGCAAAGCTACACAATGGACTATCTGTGCTGTTTTCACCTCGGAAAATCAAACCGTAACTTTAGTATTATAACTTATAAGGTCTCAAGCTTGCCGCTGAGCAATGAGGAGGGGGCATACTTTCAATAAGTCATTAATTTCCGAGCTGAATAAATTTGACTGGGCTTACACAAACGAAACAAGTAAAAATGAACTCAGAAACTTTGAAACGTATGAACAGTTTAGGTTTTTTTTGTTTGTGATAGCATTTAATACTTTTCCTTATAAAAATAAACTTTTACAAATTAATTTCCCGTGAACGATTTAGTTTTGAATTTTGTCAATCTCATAAGAAGTAAAGAATTTTAAGATTTTTCAGAAGCATGAAGTTTCCAGAAATTTTCCACTTTTCCAACTACACAGTCTTCATCATTTTTACCCAGATATTTTTAAACACAATTTTTTTAATAATATAATTTTATAAGTTTGAAAACAAACAATAAAAAATAGGTTAAACTGAAGAACCAAAAATTTTGAAGTCATTTGGTATCTTCATTTGTTTGAAACATTCTTGATTTTAAAACAGTTTAACCACTTTTTAGTACTATACTTAATTTTAAAATTGTTTACATTTTAAGAACTATCAGTTTTTTTTTAAATCTTCTAATATATGGAATTTTCAAAATATTTTTACTGTTATTCAAGAACTACAATTTTTTGTTTGTTAGATTCATAAAAATGTCTAAACTCTTTTGTTTTACCCATGCTTATAGATGCTAAAGGTCTGAGTGACACTATGAGGATCAAGTTACTTCGTTGTCAAGTCCAGACCAGCCTAGAAGATTATATAAATGACCGACAATATGACTCTAGGGGGCGCTTTGGGGAGATCCTATTGACAATCCCTCCACTTCAAAGTATCACATGGCAGATGATTGAACAAATACAGATTGCAAAGATATTAGGAATGGCTAAAATTGACAATCTTCTACAAGAAATGTTGTTAGGAGGTATGACATCACAGATGCTTTATCCTCCTGGTACAGGTAACACTCATTTTGCTGTAGCCGTTTATTAATCACAGCATCTTTGTTTTTAATTTTGTAACTGTGCATAAGCTGGCTATAACGTGCAGTAAAAGAAATACCCGTTGAGAATTTAATTAAGAGTCTTAACAAGCGCCACTTTTAAAGACACTGAGTGGGAATATAAAGGAAAACTCATGGACGAAAAAGTTTAAGAAGCTGAACCAACTGTTAAGTATAAATGACGTCTGGTGAAAGTACAATTCTGTCATTTTAAGTTGAAGCCTTGTAATCTGAAATATTAACACAACTTTTACCTTCTATTGTATTTTACCATGTTTTTTTTCTTAAAAAAGTCTTCCAAGAATGAAAGTATTACACCCAAACAGCAGCAAAATATTTAAAAAAAATATTATTTTGAATATAATTATTTCAATTTATCTGTGTGAACTTTACAGCTTCCAATTACATTTATCACCCAACTTCTCATTTCATTACTAATTGATACAACATACATAATCCAAAATTTTTCATTTTGTTTAAGTATTTTAAGGTTACAAATATTTACCAAAACATTTTGTACAACAGCTTAGCATTCTTTGGAGCTTAAAAGGATATAAACCTTTTAAGCAATTTTGGTTTTCTTTCTTTCATTTATACCCAAAACTCTTGATTCTGCAATATGATTTCATTGTTTAAAGTTCACTATCATTACAACCTTGCCATTATACATGTACAGCTATCTCAGCAGTACAAGAGTTCTGAAGATTTAAGTACTGGTTTACACCAAAGCTTACAAGTTTATTCATAAGTAATAGATAATGTGCTTGCAGTAGTTACAATATTTAATTTGGTTCCGAAAAACAAACTCAGTTTTGTGAAGTTTACAGTATCATTCCCAGGATTATCAAAATAAACAGTAAGAAATGCTGAGATGTTTCAGAAACATAGCACTGTTATTATAAACACTGTTATTTTAAAAACATTATGTGTTTTTTTTTTCACCTATATCCATCCAGGTGCCACTGGAGAACAAGGAGGCTCCATGGGTCCACCCACAACAGGTCTTTCCTTACCATCAGCTCCCTCAACTTCTCTCCACCACTCAGTACTTCAGAACCCAATTGCACATCTTACCAATAGCCATAACAGCCAGAGTAACCACCTAACCAATGGCCACCCTGAAACTCCAATTCCATCACCTTCAGATACTTATAAGGTTCATCAGCCACTTGGTAGTCAGCCCTTTAAGAGAGAGATGCTTGAGACTGACCCGGCCTATTAACTTGTTCACCAAGAAGCATTTCATAAATGAGAAGTATCTAAACTTGCCACCTGGTGCTCATAAATAACTTCATTTATCAACAGTTATTTTATGCCAGTGATCATTAGTTAGTACAGACAACAGGGACTACCCTTTGTGGTAGTGGTTAAAATAAAACTGGTAATGGAAGCCAGTCCTAATTAACTGAAAAAAAGGTTATATCAGTGGTCATTCAGTGACGATCCATTGATCATGTAATTTTCATATTTAGTTTACTGTAAAAAAACTCATTGAAACAAATTCTGAATATATCTTTGAACTTTACTTTTTTTTTTCATAATGTCTTACATTAGTAGTACTAAACATTCAAAATATAATAACAAAAGGATGCTACATTAGGTTATAAGAATTTGGCTGCTACATTTTTCACTTGTACAAATGTTGCAATCAGGTGCCAGACCTAAATTACAAAAACTATATTTACTGGTCAGTTATCTACAGCAGCTAAATGCAGATGCCAGACCTAAATTACAAAACTATATTTACTGGTCATTTATCTACAGCAGCTAAATACAGATGCCAGACCTAAATTACAAAACTATATTTACTGGTCAGTTATCTTCAGTAGCTAAATACAGATACCAGATCTAGATCACAAAACTGTTTACTGTTCAGTTATCTTCAGCAGCTAAATACAGATGCCAGACCTAAAATTGCAAAACTATATTTACTGTTCAGTTATCTACAGCAGCTAAATGCAGATGCCAGACCTAAATTACAAAACCATTTACTGTTCAGTTATCTTCAGCAGCTAAATACAGATGTCAGATATAGATCATAAACCCATTTATGTTCAGTTATCTACATCAGCTAAATGCAGATACCAGATCTGGATTACAAAACCATTTATTGTTCAGTTATCTTCAGCAGCTAAATACAGATACCAGATCCAGATCACAAAACTGTTTACTGTTTGGTTATACACAGCTGCAAAATACAGATACCAGATCTGTATCACAAACCTATTTACTGTTTGGTTATACACAGCTGCTAAATACAGATACCAGATCTAGTTCACAAAACCATTTACTGTGCTGTAAGCTACATCAAAAACTTAAATGAAATACTTGAATAGTTTTACAAATATATTAACTGTGATCCTTAAAGATGAGCCAAGTTATGTGCTACTGCTGGCAGTAAGAATTTTATATATATATATATGTTTTTTTTCCATGAGGTGTGTAGAATATTAAAGTTAGTAGAGTACTCTATTTTTGAAAAGTTTGACTTCAAGCAGTATATATATTAGAAAAATTCCAAGATGTAAACTATTTTGTGAAATTGTGCCTTAACGTTACGAGACATGTTGATCTCAGTCCTATACAGTTTTTAAAACAGGTTTTATGGTACTTGTTAAAGTAACAACAAAAGATGTTTATATTATTAACACATCAGTCACAGAAGACCTTTAAAAGATCTACTATGAATAAAAACCAAGTTTTTATTAGTATACTCTAAATTACATACTAAAAAATTGTTGTGTTAGCTATGAATATAATCAGTAAAAGTGTTAACAGCACTACACAAACAATAGTAGTACTAAAACAATACTTCATTCACAAACTAACTGTCAAAACAATGATAATGACAGACTGTATTACTACTTTTATAATTTAAGTATTTACTCCTATAAAAACAATTAAAATTAGAAAAAAATTATCAATTACAAAAAAAAATAAAAAAATTCAACCACCTTAAAGTTTTTTAATAATATAATGCACTGATTTTATTAAAATGCACGCTTGAGATGTTAAAGCATTCAGAATTAGCACATAGCATAGTACATACCAGTGTCAGTTTAAACAGAAATTAGATTGTGGACTGATTAAAATATAAACAACACATAAAGAATGAAACAACAAATTTTTACATTTCTTTTTCAACATACAGTATATTAATCCAAGTTTGAGTTGATAGGAATCTTTAAAATTGGTTTGAGCTTGATACTGAAACTAAGTTGAGTCTAGTCTAGCATATTTGCAACAGTAAAAACCGGTTTATATCCAGTCCATCAAAATACATTTTTTTAAATAAAAAATGCATGCTGCAAATTATAGTGGCATTGCTTTATTTCCAGTATTAAATTCTTGATTGCTAACATGCTTTAAAAACTGAAGTGTGTGCTCTCTCTCTCTCTCTCCATTAATTAAAAACCAACCACAGAATAGATGGGATTGTTACTTCTGTTCAGTAATCAGACCAGAAGTCTAGGTAGTCTTTGTGTAAATAGTGGTAGTTTGTTAAAGATGCTAGTGAGTAGATTAGGTTCAGTACCAGCTGGGTGAGTGAAAGTCTAGTCTCAAGACTAGAGGTTGATATTAAATCTCAGGTGTCTTAGATATTTGTGTTGTGACTGAAATGACTAGACTGAGATATGAAAAAAATTATCTCAAATATACCAAAATATTTTTAGTATGTGATTTACTACTTTTCATTTTTGCTTTATGTGATTTTTAAAAATTTGTTTTTCATGATTAATTTCTTTACTGTATGAACTATGTTTATTAAAGGGTCAATGCAATATATTATAAGTTTCAGTGCCTTGGCTTACTCATTATATTACTAATTTGTTTGTCCACAAAATGTGTTATCAATGGTGATATAACAACCACATATAAGAGAAAAAGACTACTGAGAACTTTACAAACTGAATCATTTCATCAATTTAGAACTTAATTTTTTTTTGTGCTTTTTTTTTATAATCCAATCCATGTCTACAAAGTCTGTGCCAAAACTCATTCTGCCCATTTGGCATGTATTGATTACACTGTACATAAATAAAGCTATTTTGATTAAAACCAAGTTGAGTATTTCTTGATATCATATTACTACACTAAGTAGTTATTACACAGTTTCTTCCGAGTTCATTACAATTACACACATCGTTTTTACATCAATTTATACAAACTTACCATTTTCCTTTTTTAAACCAGTTTCTAACCATTAATACTTTTCATTAGGACTTTTTACACACCCTATAGAAGTTTTATGAAACTAGCACTCATAAATTATTTAGATATTTTGAAATTGAATGGTACCTTATGTGACATGTGGATTGAATGGCTAAGACCTCTAAAGTTCAGGCATATCCAACTCTAATCTGGAACTTTTGTCAGAGCAAGGGCAACCAGCTAGTAGAATCTACTATCTAATATGTGAATAGTGAGAAAAACTGTCACGCTTGTAACATCCCAACAACTGAAAGTGCATTGTGTATTCAGTAGCATGTTGCAGCTCAAACCTTGGATCTTGTGATACTCATCCTGGTATCTTAACCATGCTGTTAATTATCTTGTGCGTAGATGTTTGAGGGTCATTCAATACACATTCTCAAAGTTAGTTAAAACTTTGTCGGTAAATACTTCTTTAGCTAATATTCTCTGCTTTCCAAAACATAACACAAAAATATAGAAATTAAAAATGTAAACGTTTTATATTTTATTTCACAGATCAATTTCTGTACATAACTGCATAAATACAGTACAAGTTAATCTATGTATAGAATTACTAGTATATAATTGATATTAACTTACAACCACAGCAAGCTACATACTAAGAACAAAACTAAAAATCAACATGGCAATTAGTAAAGCTAATTTGATACTCTTTTCTTACATTTCTACTGAAAAACAAAACATTGTTTCATCAGTTGGGTATCCTTACTGTTAATCATATTTTCTGTTGTAATCCCAGTAATATCTCACGAAGTTCGAGCAACTTAGATTTAGGTTAGTTCTAAATACATATATGAAGCTAACAATGCAAACCAATTTTTAAAATAATAGTATAATAATAATAATTTAACAGTGATCTACTAGTACAGGTCATTCACACTTAGTTTGAAGAGTAGATACAAGTTGAATTATGCCATACATTTTTTTATATTAAAATTAAGAGAGATTTGGAAGGTTATACTTGATAAGCTTTGATAAATGAATATAGTTACAATTACAGTTTCTGCAAAACTGTTACCACTTAAACTAATTGATCTTCTCAATTTAAAGGTTATATTTCCTCAAATACACTTTCTAGGTTATGCTCTTACTCGGGGAAAAAAAAAATTAATTAAAACATACTTCCTACTAGACAAAGAAGCTAATTTCACCAACTAATTTAAATATAATGGTTTTGTACTTATATAACCATAAGTCATGTTTCTTTATATTCAATGGATCAAATGAAACAATTTAATTTGGAGTTGATGATAAAGCTAAAATTCATAATCTGACATTGTGAAAATACTAAATTATTAATTGACTAAGAAAAAAAAAGATTGTATATGTTCATCACTACTTCTCTACCGAGTTGTAACATGCAACTAGATACAAACAAGGAAATTTTTTAGAACAGGATCACACACATTTAAACAAATGTAGTTAGAAACTAAATAGTTTTAATTGAGTAAAATGAAATTTATTTAAAATAATATGTATAACATTTGGTCAGCATGTGCAGTCATTATCACACTGTTGCTGAAAGTTTTATGAATTATTCTAAATAAATATAATTTTATCTCCTTTAACCTGTTCACTTTTTAATTTAAAAAAAGTAAATTATCATATATGTATATATATTCATCAAGCCTCTTTAATGGTTAGTAACACACGTCTAATATTAATGAAGGGACAACAGATACATATTGATTACTAAACAATCAGCCTCCTCTAGTGTTTTTATATTCAAATTTAAATACACACACTTGAAACAACACATTATCTTCCACCTTCACAAGTAATTTCTATTCTCAGTCTGTCAACATATGCAGCTTGTAAATATATAAATATAAAAATTGTATTTTTATATCAGTGAAATGCAATCTCCTAGAAACTTAATTATACCACCATCTGTAGGGCAAACAATTTTTAAAATATTTTTTCCTTAAAAAAATTAAATTTATAATTTAATATAAAGTAGTATATGCTTGACCAATAAAATACATTTCAATATATACAAAGAACTGTTAAAACTTACCTGACAATCTAGTGTCTTCTCTACTGTAACCAAGAACAAGCAAATAGATCTGCCTGTGATATTAGAACTACTCACATTTAGGCCATTCCTCATTCACCATATTTCTGCTCACTTATGAATGCTGTGTTTTTGTTCATATGTATACACAATTTTTAATTGAACAAATCAGTATTATTTTACGTGGTTGGGAAGGATCTTCAATAATGCTTTTTTAGTTTTGAGTAAAAAGTGGTTATGAGCTGTTTTTTTCTATACTTTAGTCCCTAAAGATATTATGCTGCAAGATGGGTATACTTACTGGATAAGTTATTTATAGGAAGCAACTGTATACCAAAAATTAAGAAACATTATTAAAAGACTTGTTGTATCAGAAATATGAAATAAAGAGATTGTCTTATTCTTCACTTTTAATAAATTCCAAAACAAACATATACAGACAGCACAGAAACAAGATCTTAAATTTGTACTGACATTGAGCAGATTAATATCATGCTCAAACCAATAAGCATCTTACACAATACGTTATATTCATTTTTTATTCCTTACTCAAGTTAAAGAACTAGTTTCTAGTGAATTGAGAACCGATAGATCATACAAAATTCTGAACAAATGCTACCTCACTGTCTTTGTACATGTTAGAACAGAGCAAAATTGGACAACAAAATTCCATTCATAAAAACAATAGAAGAGACATGTGAGAAGTAATGGTTTGATAGTTTCATCTGTATAGTTCAGCATTAAAGGTAAACACTTAAAAACAACAATAACACTTTATAACATTAAATCTGTAGCTTCACTGCCCAGAGATTAATGTTTAGATACGTTATTCTGCACAAATACTCGGATATACAACTATTGTCAACTTACAGTATAAAAATACCATGATAACAATTACTGAGAATAATTATTGCAAAAACTGGCAGATGTTTGATTAACATGAATTCAGATTGAAAACTGTATAAAACACGTGGCTCGGCAGTTATTCTTCAATAACAGTTTTTATGTAAAACCTACAAGTAGCTCGGTAGCTCAGACAATTAAGATCCTTCAAAGGAAATCACTGATTTGTCTCCATTCAAATGCTAACAAAAGGAAGTACCCGAGGATAAGGTAGACAGTATACTAGCATGCCTGTGGTTTTATCATTAACTGAGCAATTCTTGGAGATCGTCTTAAGCTAAGCTGATCTGTCCTCTGAATCTCTCCTTCATCAGAATCCAATGAGTGTTTCCCACTGTATGTCCAACATGCTAGAGTCCCATCCCACTGAAAGAAAAAGAGAAGTTAAAATATCAAGCAAAAACACACATGGCAGAGAGTTTTCTCAAAAAATTTATTGATAGGCTAACTGGCAAATTACATAAATCAAGAAACCTTTCTCAAAACTTAAAGAACCAGATATACTTTACAGGAAACACTATCCTCAAAATATTTCACACATGTAGCAAAACTTAGTTTCAGCAAAAATATTATTCCTTGTATAACAAACATGATTAGATACATAATGAAGTTTATGCGCCATGTTTAGTAATTAAATAAGTCAGATAACTATAAAGAGGAAGGGATTTTTTTTTGAATTAATTATATATGTACTGGAATAGTTGTCAAATCCTATGCCAATAACTTGGAAGAAGAAGCTTGGATTATTTATAAACATTTAAGAATTATCTGATTGTTTGAATAATACCTGAAATCATGCTAATAAAACGAAAAGCATTAGTGAAACTGATGATTGTATTTTTAATCTACTGAGTGTTCCTTAATGTATAAACCCACATCTTACACCAAACACAAGTAGTTGTTACACATGTAAAGTTCACTACCCATGAAATTAAACTTAAACCTTTATCATCCATGGAAGGGTTTTTGCCATTACCATCACTGGCATAAATGTACGGATGAAGATGATGTCTAGCATGCATAAATATATGGGTGAAGATGATAAAGATTTAATTGTTAGGATGTAAGCATGACTGTTCACAACAATAAAATATGATTGTTTTATGTACACTCATCATTTGGGGTTTATTCTGGTGCTTGCTAATATTGTCATTTCTGATAAAATGTCCTTTGATTAAAAACAATATCAGATTCACAAACTTTATGGGGCAGAAATAATCTAAAACATTGGTTCTAAAAAAAAAGTGTTGGTCTGGGCCATCAGTTTTTTTATTTATTTTTTATCCCTACAGATCAGCATGACAAACAGAAGAACTTACTAAATTCTAAACACTTCTTTTAATTCAAAAATACACAATGGAGAGTTTAGGCCTTTCCCTATTAAAAATATTCTCCACATATAAACAGTTACATACATCTTCTACCTGCTTTATAGCCAAGGTTTGAGATCTCAAATTTCACCCCTCAAAGTGGATTCCTGTACTTAGTGAGGGGACATCACAGGGAAGGTTCTGTATCTTCAGTTTACTTTCTTTGGGATCTGGAAATCCATCCACATGTTGGCCGTGCATGGCATCCCGTGAAGGGGACGAGAGGATCCTAGTGGTTGAGGGGGTGTCATGATGGGTCAGTATATCGGTGGCACTTCAATACATCATTTTGGCCTTGAATTCCTGTGGATTGATGGCCTTGGGGTGGCTCCTCCAAGGTCAATTGGCTGGTCCTGTTGAGCTAGGGTCAACTAAGTACCAGTGATGGACATTCTCAATGGGTGTTGTGGACACTGTGTCTAATACTGGTGCTTGAGTATAGTGTCCATGAAAACCCTGGCATAGCTGCATTCTCATTGTTTGGCATTATGAGGCTCCATGGTTGGTGGGGTCAGTGGGCACTGAATCACTTACATTTCCTTATGGATCCCCCAAATCCAGAAAAAATAAATTAATAAAAAACAGCTAATAGGTAAGTGACCACATATGAAAGACTGTTCCACAGTCATCACCCTAGTCAGTTCCTGTACATTGTTTTCTCATTCTCCATTCTTTGACCAATAAATAATTAGGGCAAATATCTCTTTTTCATCCAGAACAAATTAGATGGGCTTGCTGGCTGTCAAAAGTCAGTCAAGAAGTTACATTCTGGCAACATCTTGATAGAAACATCTACACAATACCATAGCAAACGCCTCCTGAAATCAAAGGCCATTTGGGACATACCTATTGAGGTTACTCCCCATGGTACTTTGAATTCCTCACAAGGAGTTACTGTTGAGAGGGATTTAGGGAACATCCCCGAGCCAGAAATCCTCACTGGTTTCTCCAACCAAGAAGTTTCAGCTGTGTGACACATCTCCACTCAAAAAAAGGTGGAATACTACAGCCTACCAATGTTCTGATTTTGACCTTTACATTGCCATGTCTGCCTGCTACTGTTAAGGCAGGTTATCTGAACTGTAAGGTACAGCCCTATATTCCTAACCCTCTCTGGTGTTCTCAGTGTCAGAGGTTCGAACATTCTAAGGCATCTTTTTGTGGTTATTTGACATATGCAAGGGATGAAGTTGTCTTGCCTAGGTTACGCATTGGTCACAATTATTTTACTCATCATTTTCATTTATGTGACTTGGGTCACAATTGCCCACATTTTACTTTCACACCGTGATTAGGAATGTGAGTGGCAACACCATTTTAGACATGTATTTTCTAAGGGTTTACACCTGACGTTGGACAGTGCCATTGGCAATGGTGGCACTGTCCAACTTGATTGTTTTTGCTTTTTGTGAGCCATTGGCCTTTTTTACTTCTATTTAGATTTTAATTAATTTTTGGGCTATATGCTAGTGTATAATAATAAAAAAGCATTTCTGTCTATCTGTGATTTCTATTTGTAATATAAGGAACCACTTCTTTTCAATGTGTTTTTTTTTGCTAGCTTGCCTCATTAAAAAGATGCTCATGCATGCACACATGTGGATAAGTAATAATACCCAGGTGCACACCCTCAGGGTCCACTTAGTATGGGAGCAAAATTTCAGGTTCCTAGGTTCTTTCCTCTTGGAGTTATGGTAGTCTCACACACACACATGCCCTTTTATTATTATAGATAAAGATGAAAAACCCCGAGTTATACCGGTAATTTTTTTTTATGGATGACAAACTTACTCATTTAGTAACAATTTATTTTAAAAGTACATCATCATGTACTAGAAAATTAATAAATGGGAAGAAAAAAAATTATATGAATAAATAAACATAAAAAAGTATGTGTATTCAGTGTTTAACATTTAAAAAAATGTAACATAATAAGATAAAATAACTTGAGACTGTGAAATAATCACAAATAACAGTAATTAAACACTTTTCAAACTAACAACATAATATATAAAATTCACTAGAAATTCACAGAGTTTAAATAACTTACAGAGCTGCTGATCAGTTCCTGTCTGTAAGGATGCCATGATACATCCCTCACACATCCTAGATGTCCACACAGGACTTTCACAATCTTACCAGTCAGAACATCATACACTGGAAAAAGTAACAAAAAAAACAGTCACTGAAAGAATGCTATCACTATAAAGTCACTTTGATTAACCCATAGTAATCTAATAATATATAATCTAGTTAATGTATTAAAAAAATATTCAATACAAATAAAAAGCTTAATAGGGAATTAATGTCTATAAATCTAATAAACATTTCACTAAACTCAGTTTCAGACTGCATATGTTTGCATCTCAAACACTCATACACACACCAAGTTTAAATAATGTAATAAAAAATGCCTAAGCTGGTCCAAATGAATTTTACTATGTATACATACATGCATGAATATAATTTCCTTTCCTTTTTTTTTATGCATGTTTTACAACTTTCAGGTTCTCCTCAGTGCTAAGTAAAGGAAAGGAAAACCTGTATTCTATTGTATACAAAAACATTTCCAAAACTTATATAAAGCTTAGATTTGAAATGTAACCAATACAAATATTTTAGAGTTTATGTTATTACACTTTACACCAATTTTCTTGCTAAAATAAATTTGTTAAATAGAAAAACTTAAACATTTAACAGAAAGAAGATTCATCATCTAATCCAAAGCAAATATCCAATTGTAATTTAAGCTGAATACCACCAGGTTCATAGAAGACAATTTTGACCACTTACATATAAAACTTTGAATACTCCAAAAGCTACTTACAACTGATCACTCAGCCAACCATCTACTGACGGCAGTACTGATCACTCAGCCAACCATCTACTGACGGCAGTACTGATCACTCAGCCAACCATCTACTGACGGCAGTACTGATCACTCAGCCAACCATCTACTGACGGCAGTACTGATCACTCAGCCAACCATCTACTGATGGCAGTACTGATCACTCAGCCAACCATCTACTGATGGCAGTACTGATCACTCAGCCAACCATCTACCTACAGCAGTACTGATCACTCAGCCAACCATCTACCTACAGCAGTACTGATCACTCAGCCAACCATCTACCTACAGCAGTACTGATCACTCAGCCAACCATCTATCTACAGCAGTACTTATCACTCAACCAACCATCTATCTACAGCAGTACTTATCACTCAACCATCTACTTACAGCAGTATTGACAATTCTACCAGCTACCTACAACTGGCAAGCTACCAATACGATAGTACTTATTTCTTTTCATTCAGTGGATAAATCACTATCAGGAACACATAAGGAAAAACTTACCAATTATTCTTCCAGTAGCACAACCAGTATATATATATCGTTGCCCTGTGCTGATTTCTGGAGAAAAATGGCATCGGATGAGGGTCTGAAGAACACTGTGTCCACAATAAGTCATCAAAGAAGTGTCACCCATTACTTTCTTTCGTTGATTAGATACTATATTTAACCAAATTTAAATGTTTCACATGAATACATGTAATTCTACATTTGAGAAATGTGACAGTTTCTAGTTACATACTTGTAACTCATCACAAACAGTTATTTGGAATTTTTCATCGATTTATAGTGACATTTTCAGAGGTTTGAAAATTTACTTTCATAAGAGGATCTTTTTGATTCAAATAAAAACTAAATTGTCACACAAATACATTTCTCATAAATAAAGACTGATATAAACACACACACTCAATCTCGTATACACCAACATTAAAATATTTATTAAAAAATTGTTTTATTTACCCAAACAAATTATTAAACAAATCCATTACAACTGAACCTATGAATACACATAATGAATAATTATTTTAGTAAATTTAATTACTGGCTTAGAAGTACTGATGTAATGTTTTCTATTGTTTAGGGATTTCTTTTGGATTATTCGGTAAAAAGAATAATGAAAAATCCAATCCATTTAATGACAACAAAGACATTTTATTTCTTGAACTTAAAGGTACATGGTTAGTGCAATCAATGTTCAAAAATAAACTACATCTAACAGAAATTTCATTTACTTCCTAGATTTGTATCTTTGTTTTTCTGTCCAAACTAGCTAACTGATTAACTGGCTGACACTAACAGACAAACTGACTTAATTATGCATTTTTACCCATTAACAGACTAACAAACTCAATACTCTAATGTAGCCTAACTTTCTACACTTTCAAGAAGATTATAGTCATTAATACTAGCTGTGTACCCGTCCTTTGTACGGGTT